ATTCCTAATCAAGACACCCGGGAGAAAATTGGTTCTTCATCACTGTCTCCAATTTTTATCTGCGCTAATAGTTTTTCAGGCGACCCGTTGAGTTTCGCCGGTGAAGTCGCCACTAATGTTCAGTCTACGAAAAAGTATCTTCTTTACTAGTTCGTGTTTTGAAACAAGTAACCATAGCATTCCTGGATGCGATTTTATCTTTTTTTTAAGGTCTGGATACTGCACCTTTGAATGAGTTTTGTAACGCTGTTCAAGAAAAGTCGGCTTTGCCGAAACTTACACAGTTTCAGTCGATCTTCCGACCTGATCTCGGTTTGTGCACACAGATGAAAGCACACATAAAATTGAAGCCAAATACTACTTCAGTTTTTACCATATGCACTTCGTCCTCTGCTAGAGAAAGAACTGTATCGACTCGTGGATCAAAACATCATATCCTCAGTAGTTTATTCGCAGTGAGCAGCGCCGATTGCAGTTGTTAGAAAAGGTAACGACAGTTTTGGACTTTGCGCTGACTTGTTAACTGGACTTAATGCAGCAATTGATATATATGAGTTCCGCCTACGCCTGACGACATTTTTGCAACACTTAATAGTGGTAACTTCTTTTTCGATCTAGACTTTTCAGATTTGTATTTACAAGTTCCTGTTGATGAGGACTCGAAAGAATATTATAGGCTCAATTAAAACCTGCTTTAAAGAAAGCGATAGATAAGCGGTTTTTGGCGGGAGCTGAATTCGATGAACTAGCAATCACAATCGAGGGCGTTTCAATTTCAAAACCCACTACACATGATAGTCTGGATCCACTAAAACCAAGCGATTTTTCAATAATTAAAGTTAATTTAATGGCAGAGCAATATTAGCCGAGGCAGGAAGCTGACAGTTACAAATAACGAGGCTCCTTATGTGTTGTCGTTCGCTTAGGATATGCGAGGTAGTATTACTATGCAATGAGGATTTTAAAAGAATATTCTAAGAATATCACAAACAGAAGACTGCAGAGAAATAGATGTCAGTGTAGCTAGAGTACGGGACAAAGGGATTCAGAAACCAACGGTTCTGTTTACTAGACAGTCAAAGGTGGTAAATTCTTACAGTAAAACAAAGGCTTAAAAAGTCTTGATTCTGTACGACACTAGCAGCCAGCTTTCCTTATTGCTGAAGAACTTGTCAGTTGCCTCAATTTTAAAAAGAAAAAAGGGGTCGACTGGGCAAATTTGGAACACGGGAATCGTTAAAGTTGGAGGTAATTTCCGTTGCCCGCAGTATGAAGAAGAGGAAGAAAGAAGAAAAAACTGTGTTCTTAAATACCGTGAAGCATCTCGTGTGACGGTACAGATACCACTAATGCTAGACCTTCACCCAAAAAAAATTACAGCCGAAGTTTTGTACATACCCAAAATTTGGGTGAAACCTCAAAATTTAGTTGCAAAGGACTATCTTTTTGAGTTTGTAAAAAACTTAGCCATTGAGATCTGTTTGGTGTAGTACTTAAATCACGCGGAATCAGGTCGGTATAAAGAAGGGGAAGCAAATTCTGCCAAAGCGAAAACCCGTTCAGTCAGGGCCGGTTTGCAGTCCTCTGTTGGCATAATTTATCGTTCGCTGCGAAAGGCGAATTATGCTGAGCGAGTTGCTGTTGATGATCATGTCTATCTGGCAGCAGTCTTGGAGCATTTAGTTGCCGAAGTGTTAGAGCCTGCTGGCAGTGCAACTCGTGATAATAAAAAGAGTCGCATTAATCTACGGCACTTGCAACTTGTTGTTCGTAATAACAAAAAATTGAATAAGATTTTCCATGCTATAGTAGCGCAGAATGGTGTGCTTCCGAAGTTAAACGCAGCATTCCTGCGTGAAGATTTCTAGCGAAAAAGACTGACGTGAATTATTGTACATGGGTATAATGGGGTCTTGAAGCATATTCATTGTATCGTGTAATTTCTTCTACTTTATTGTGTAATTTACTTTGTCTATTGTATTTAAACTTGCACTTGCCACTTAATAAGCCATATTACACACACAAAAAAAAGTAACGTAAGCATTTTTGGAGTAAAACCAGACAAAATTAGAGGAGTAATATATAAAAGGTGTAGATTGATTACACACGCATTCGAGGCGGATCGCTTTTGTAACTAGGAAGATAAAAACTATTATCCAGCGTTTTTTGACTTCTTTTCCTTTGCCTAAAACTTGCATTGGACCGCAAGCCTGCGTTTAAGAAGTTGACTTAATAATGCGTTCTACCGGACATCGGGGATCTTCAGTTTAAGTAGCAGTACCTAAATTACAAAATGTTGACGAGTTACGGTAACTCAGTTCTATGGAACGGTACGATCTTGTAAAACAGTAAGCGACTAATTACTTCTCACAATTGTGCGAAGAAGAAAAAGGTCCCACGTAGAGACGTATAGAGGGAACGCTACTGTAAACGCCTTCTTTATTTCAAAACTGTTGTTGGTAACCGTGGCAACTGCAATACATCCTTTACAAAAATACCTAATTTTTTCTGATTAATCTCACATGGTTAATACAAAAAGTTATAGTAAGGCAAATATAGATGTAAGAGAAAATAAAGCAAAGAAAAAGTGGGAGAATGGGATGGTTATTGTTCTTAACAATCGTCTTTTAAGTTCCCGCGAGGAATTCCAATAAATATGAGTACCTCTCAAAAAAAAATTATAATTTTCAAGACATTAAGAGCACTTAAGGTTAACTATTGCGCATTATAAATTGCAGCCATGTTCCTTCTGTGCTGTTTTTCCTCTTCTTTTTATCAAGTTTATGTTTTTGTAGTAGCCATAAACTTTAAAATGGATCCGAGAAATACTGTAACAAATAGATTTTGAAATATTTAAAGTTTTAAGTATTAAAAAAACATGCAACAAAACGAGAAATGTGATTTAATTAGCAGTTAAAATGGACTGTTCAGATTGCTGTAAACAGAATGGCGAAAGGTAACACAATTTAGCTGCTATAAGTAAAATTCATTTATTATATAGCTGATTGAATATAAACCTTATTTATTCGTAATCAGGGTTGTTGTCGCGACCATACGCGAAACGGCACTTACTACAGCAAGTGACCGACGGGACTATGTTCCCCCTGAAGGGACGCTCTCGGGCGAGCATACTACCTAGGTCACGACACCGGTGGCATAGATGTTAATAGGGAGTGACAGTCAGCTAATTTCAGCGTTTTCATTACAGTCGAATCTAATTGATTGTTGACGGTTTTCCATAAAGCTTTCTCTTGTCACGTGCCCATGGGCAGTTAGTTGTGTGTATATTACTCTATCTTTGTATAGGATTCTTATTATGTCACCTTATTGTGTATAATAGGATTTTGAATCGCTTCAAGTAATTTCTTATATTGGTTGTATAATCTAGTTTGCGAGTAATAAACTAGTTAGTAGAAAGGTTAATATTGCACGCGTAGTGATTAAGCATTTCTTTCTGTATATAGGTTCAGGTAGGTATACTACGACTGAGTAGCAGTCTTCCTAAACA